AGCTCCCACCAGGCTCCTGTGCCTTCCCTTCTTCCCCCCCCCCCCCCCCCCCCAGGGCACCTCCTCTCTGCCTCCTTGCCACTTCCAGATTTCTAGCCTTCATCCTCACCTGCCATGGTCATTGCTCACTAGCTTCCTGCCTCTAGTCTGGTCTACCTGCTCCCAGTCTCTCTCTCAACATACGGCAGCAAAGTTCATCTTTTCAAAATGATGCTTCTGCCGAGTCCTTCAGTGTCTGTTGACTCCTCCCTGTGCCAGCGCGCCTCCACCTTGAGGCTCTGTGGCACACAGTCAAGTGCCTGACACATTCCTTTGGTGTGTCCAGATTTTCTTAGAGCTTTTAACACCCCAAGGGAGAGAGAAGCCTTCCAGTGCCTGCTACCTTCCAAGGAGATGTCAGTGTACCTTCTGAACGCCACAGCAGGACAGAGCTGGCTGTGGGCCACATGTGATTGCTGCAGCCTGGCTCTGCCTCACCCCTGCTCAGGAGAGCGTAGGGGATATGAGGGAGAAGGAACAAGGTATTGTACCTCTCTGACTTCAGATGCCCTAGTCCCAGACAAGTCTGGTGTATCTAACAGTGACTAAGAGAGGGCTTGCAGCACAGTACAGGACCCAATGAAAGGAGATGACACAAACTCCACAGTGTGCTTCTCTGTGAGTTGGCAACATTCTCAGCTCAGGGTTTCTATTTGGTAGAACTGGTCTCTACTCTGGCTTGCAGAGTTTCCTGCTACCCCGTGGACTCCACAAATACATTCATCCTGCAAACTTTCCAGCACCTTCCCTGGAAGGTTTCCTGACCCGTGGCTAGTTGACTGGCTCTCCCTCCATGCTACTGCCAGATTGAGCATGCTGGGCTGCAGCCAACATACTTGCGCCAGTTTCCCAGCCAGCAAGAAGGGACCGAGCCCTAGTGTTTTCCATGACCTCGGTGTCTAGTTGCAGTGCCAGGGCAGAGCCTACTCCTGAGAAGCTGCAGGGGTGATGAGGCCCACCTTCTATTGCAGTGCGGCACACCAGGTGGGAATAGGAGAAGTAGAGCGGTGTGTCCAGGCGGAAGTAGGACTCCATGACACGCCGAACCTTCTCTGTCACATTGTAGTACATGTGGGCACTCTGCAGAGGGACTTTCCCTTCCTGCCCAAGCTGCAAAGAACACTGGTGGTCAGCTGCCCTGACTTTCCTCCACAGACTGTCAGGACACTGGGGTACATGTAAGGCTGTATACTGAGAGCATCTCCCATCCCACTGCTGAAGGAGCAATCTCTTCTTCTTCATATTTCATGTGCCCTGTTCAGGAACACGCCCTCGGGGATCAGCCCCAATTCACAGCCAACCCACACGTCTGGGGACCTATCCCATCTCACTTGCCTCATTTTTATTGCACCTCATCTAACAGCCAAGATTTACAAGGATATCTCCTTGGCATAGCTTATCCTTGTTCCCTGGCAGCTGGAATGTCAGTAGTGAGACACTTCCCTTTATCTATCTCCTCCCAAAATGGAGTAACTGGAGTGTCCTCCTCCTCTTTCCTGGCTGTCAGAACCCCCCACTCCCACCCCATGCTCTAGAGAGCTAAGATGGAGTTTACCTTGAGAGCTTTGAGGACAGTGACACCATAGAACTTTTCATTTGGGGTATGTGGAGAGGTCTGACCTCGGTAGCCATCTCCTGAAGTTGCTGCTGCCTAATGGGCCCAAAAGACAAGGCAAAGTTAGTCAGGGCAGTGGAGCATCTGATGAGAGGTGACAACTAAGGACAACAGGGACCACTAGGAGGGAGGCACTTGGAAGCAGGATGACCCTTACATTGGTCAGTCTTTGCAGCTCCTGGCACTCCTCATCAGAGATCACACCATCTATCACCACCCGCTGGGAGCCGTTCAAGACTTTGGAGTTCATAGTGAGACTGATGCCTTCATACAGCAAGGGGCCACCTGCAAATCAAGGTCAAGACTGATAAGCCCTGCAGTGGCTCTGCCCAAGGCCTCCTTGGACAGAACAGGCATTCCAGAGAAATTCCTACTCAGTCACTTCCAGAGGACAGAATCAGGAAGTCCAAATCCTAGGCCTCATCCTGCCATCAAACAGCTTCTGGCTCTTGGGCCTCCACCGGACAACCACACTACAGACCCCACTCAACCCCATCTACATGCTGAGACCTTGTGAGAGATGCAAGAGAGAACCTAACACCTGAAGACGACACCATTCCCCAATTGGACAACAACCAGTGCTACGCATATCACAGTGCCCTTACAGATTCAAAGGAGCAGTAAGGCCTCCCTGTGGTGTCTTTAAGGGCAGAGATGGTGAGAAGTACATCAGGAGTAAGGACAAGCATGAACAACAATCTGTGGGCTAATGGCAGGCTCAGGGGACCAGAAACAGTCCATCCATCTGATGGAGGATGCACAAATGGAGGATACACATGTACAAAGGATGTGTATGGAGGATGCTTAAGTACCGAGGATGCATGGTCCTGGTGTTTGGAAGACAGGCTTGCATCTGTGTGAGGGAAAGGATAAGAACAGACAGGAGGACTGGGCCTACATGGGCCGAGGGCAATGGAAAAGGAAAAGGAAAAGGCAGGAGAGGAGGAGAGCAGAGAGCAGCTATCATCGTGGGTGGGAGCTTGGCAAATGAAGCAGAGAAGACGGGAAGGTTTTGCCTTTTGATAACAATGTGAGTGGTCAGAAGAGAGTTCCGAGAGGGAGGAAGGAGGTTTATGCCATCCATACTTACTGTGACTATGCTAGTCTAACCGTGATACTGGAATCTTACTTCTTAGCGAAAGGCTAAGGTCAGGGCTGTCTGGATGGCAGTTCCTTGGTGTGTTGGACGTGGAGGAAGTCCTAGCACCTGATGTACAAGCAGAAGCTGGTATATGATGGGCTGAGCAAAGCCCTAGTGGGTATGGCCACCGGGTGAATGTGGTACGACCTGTCTGGCTGCCCACCACACCGCAGGCACGCCACCATCTGCTCACGCACCTTCCCGTGTCAGTCTGCTCACATCCAATGACTCTTTGGTCTTCTCCTCCACGAGGGTTTCAATCTCCTTCATAAGGTTGCCGATCTCCTGGGAGATGCGGACTGCGGTTTCTCGTTCTGACCTGTGAGCATGGCAGTGTTGAAGGTTGCTGGGGCTGGCCCTGGTTCCCACCCCAACTTCCCAGACTGGACCTGTCCACCCCTGGCCAGGAGTTCCCATCTGCCTGGGCATAGGAAGCCTCAAGTGCTTCATCAGGCTGATCCAACCATGGCATTTCTACAAGGCCCTCACTTCTGTTTCTCTTGCAGTCTCTTGGGAATCACCTCTTCCGGAGTCCATGAGTCCTAAGGTTGGGTCAGAATAACAAGTAGGGTGACATGGGGCTTCCAAGAGTCCACTGCCTCATTGCCTGTGATGAGGTGGGCTCTTGGATCCTGTTGCTTTTAGTGGCCCAGGGTTCCATTTCATTTTCCCCTTTGTCTCCCATCCTCAGGGTCCACACATCCCACGCCTGGCTCAGCCCTGGACAGTCATTCCTCAGAGTTGTCTGGTGTAGACGCCCTCACCTCTCAGTGCTTCCCTCTTTCCCTTCCTTCTAGCTCCTGCTTTGGCTCACCGGATCCACAAAAGGAATTCCAAAAATGTCGTAAGCGAAGAAGAGCAGTTCTTTTTCCAGCAGGCTTCGCTGTCGGTAATCTTGGGCATTCTGAGGAAATAAAAACTTTCTCAGAACTTAACCCAACCATTTAGCCCTAGGGTGGCCCTCCCTGGTATTTTATATTTCCCCTACATGACTGAGGTATTTTCTCCCAGTTACAGGTGATATGTTGTCCAGTCTGGGCCAAAGGTCTCATTTGTGCTCAAGAAGACACTAAGGGCAGCATAACTCAGCTTCACTGGAGGGAAGATGGTCCTAGGGGCTCTCAAACAGATCTGATGATCCTCAGAATGGAACATATGCCTCACAACACCGAGAGTCCATTTTGCTTTTGCAGTTCTGGGACTGAACCCAGGGCTTCATGCATGCTAGCAAACGCTCTACCAGCAGAGTTGTATCTGCAGCCCTCTTTTTACTTTTCTTATTATAGTTTATTTATTTACTTTGTGTGTCCTGGAGTGTATGACTTCCACTGTGCATGTGTGGAGGTCAGAGGGCAACTCTGTGGAGCCTGTTGTCTCTATCCACCTTTATGTGGGTTCTGTAGATGGAACTCAGGTCACAAGCTTATGTGGCAAACACTTTTATTAGAATTTTTACTCTATTTATTTAGTTATTGTATGTATATGTGCATGTGTGTATGTATCTCTCTCTCTATGAATACACACACATGTGCTGCAGCATATATGTGGAGGCTGAAGGATTACTTGCCAGTTCTTTCCTTGCACAGAGATCAAACTCACTCAGATCATCAGGCACAGCTAGCTGCAAGTGCCTTTACCCACTGAGCCATCTTGCCTGACATTTTTGTTTTGAGACCAGGTCTCACTATGTAGCTTGTGATCCTCTGCCTTTGCTTCCTGAGTGGGAGCCCACGGGATAAGACTGTTATCTTCCTTCTAAAGGTGTAGGAGCATAGGACTAAAAGTGATACTACATTCAAACCCAGCGTTTTGGGTCTTCAGGCCCATATACTTTCTACTTGGCCACCTGCCACCCCTCAGAATCACCAGACCCTATCCCTCCCTGAAGGTGGGCAGCTGCAGAATAGCTAAGCTTGGTATTCTGACATCCCATGTGTGCTCATGGGGAGGGCTTACCCAGGGCAGGGAAACTGAGTCCCTTCTGGGGTCACATCTTTCCCCAGGTCCCCTCCTAGGATTCAAGCAGCAGAAGGAAGAGAAATGGACAGTAATAAAGGTGAGGCAGTTCACATTAAAGGAGTCCACTCTGTCAGCTACAGGAATCACACAAGAGGAAGGGGAATCATAAGGAGTTTAAATCACTGACTTCCTCCTCCTGCCAGACACCAAGCCACATATCTCATTTAGCTCCCACCAATAATTCAATGAGGATAAAGGAAACAGACCCCACTGCTGTTATTGTTAGCCTACAATGACTTACTAGTGTCAGCTGTGTGTCAGGAAGCATGTCAGTACAGGGACAAAGCAGACAGCAGATTCTAGTCGCCACTAACTAGTAACACCCACTGTACAAGCTAATTTCATCTGCAAATTCTCATTGCTATAGCAGGCAGAAGAATGCCTTCTCAAAGGATAGCCAAGCTGATTACAAAAGAGGAAAGCCTGGGCTGGGGCTCAAACCAGTGCTAGCGACTCCCTTCCCGGGAGGAGAGTTCTAGGTAAATGTTCCCATGTGGAGTAGTTTTCCTTCCGAGTCTCACTAATAGGATCTCAAGGAAGGAAAAAAGTATTAACCAAGCAAGACAAAGACCAAGCCTTCTTAAAGCTAGATGGCCACCCTCTAGTGGCCAAGAAGGATAACTACAAGAAAGCAAGCATCACCTGGGTGGGGCTAACAATAGGATTATTTTCTCTGGAGATTCTATTCCAGAGCTATGTGGAAGGAACCATGTTTTCCCCCTCAGACAGAAGTCTATGCTACCGAGGCTTTCTTCTTATTTAGAGATGTGAACAATGCTGACTGGTAAGAATAAACAGACAGGGAGAAATGCACTTGGGAGGGAAACAGAACCAGAAACCCATTATGAAAGGAGCAGCACTGACTTTGGGCCAATGGCATCCAGCATCTGGGTTGGGTGTCAAGCGGGGCAGAGAAATCTGTGTGCCAATGTGAAGAACACATATCCAAAGCCAGAGGATGCTGCGAGGCCCTGGCATGTTCTGTAAACTCCCCACACCCTGAGTCCAGAACCTGCCCCACCCGGCACCAGCAGCACTCTTCTGCCTTCTGATTGGATCAGGCAGAAGCTGCCCTCACTGAAGCTAGTCTCTCACCTCCCGGGGCCTGATGGAGCTGGCTTCTTCTTCTCCAAGAATGGCTGTATAGTAGGCCAGATTCTGGCTCATCACCTCATCATTGGGGAAGAAGAGGAGGTAGGTCTTGGCGCATTCAATAGCCTGCGTATAGTTTCCAACTGTAAAGGAAGAAAAGAAAATGTCTTTGAGGAAAGGGTGTAATCATGGGTACCAATATCCCCGTAGCATCTGGTGGCAGAGAAGCCTTGAGGCCATGATGACAGGGCAAAGTAGTACTTGCTACACAACATGACTTTTTGGAAGAGGAAGACTTTAACAGGTTATAAACAGATCATTTCCACTCAACTATACATGAACACACAACATGTACTTGTGGATATGCTATAATGGCTGGTGCCCAGTAGGTACCCAGTAAACAACTGCTGATTTATTATTTTTTTCTGGATATATTTTTTAAAGATTTATTTATTTACTATGTATACAGTGTTCTGCCTGCACACCAGAAGAGAGGACTAGATCTCATTAAGGACGGTTGTGAGCCACCATGTGGTTGCTAGGAACTGAACTCAGGACCTCTGGAAGAGAAACTAGTGCTCTTAACTTCTAAGACATCTCTACAGCCCATTTCCTGGATATTTTGGTCCTTTTACCCTGGGAGGAGGGCTGGGCATGTCCTGTGAGCTGGTTTCAACAGTAGTGCATCCTGACTTTTGCTATTCATTTTAATTCAAATGAAAAATTAGATTACAAATGTACAAAGAGGAACAAAAGAAAGGCCCTGCAATCCTCTGTTCTTAGCTTTTGGGCCATTGAAACTGGTTCCCTGGACCATTGGCTTATGACAAAATACCCAGGAATCACTGGGCATGTTGCCCTCCATAAACACAGAAGTCGGACATGGTGAAGAAGTAGAGTGACTGCGAACCCCGTCTGTCTGGCTAACCTTCTCAGCTGAGGCATCAGACAGAAGAAAGAAAGCAGGCCTTACTGTTATAGTAGGCAAATTGTAGATAATTATAATGTGAAGGGAGGAAGTCTTCAAAAGGCTTTTCTCGACTTGGGTGGGAAGCCAGCTGGGTGACACAGCTCTGCTTACAGCTGAGGACCTGGACGTAATGGTCTGAAAGGAATCAAAGATAAGGAATAAAAATGTCATTTTTTAGGATTCAAATTCTGGCTAAGATGGACAAACTGAAGTGGGAAACAACCTCTCTGTGTGCACATGGCATGTGTGTTGTATATGTGAATGCACACGTGTGGAGGCCAGAGGTGACGCCGTGTGTCTTCCTCCATCACGCCTCACTGTATTCTTGTTGTTATTTTTTGAGACAGGATCTCTCAGCCTGCAGTTCATCCATATGATGAAGCTGTCTGGCCATCAAGCCCCAGCACAGGGATTATGGGTGTGCGTTGTGTTTGGCTTTTATGTGGGTGCTTAGGGATCTGAACTCGGGTCCTTTTGCTTGCACATCAAGTGCCTTACCCACTGAGCCATTTCTCCAGCCCCTGAAAGGTAATTTTTAGTCAGAGTTCCAGACTTAAGAGGATGGCCGGCAGGGGTGGTGCAAGCCTTTAATCCCAGCACTTGGGAAGCAGACGCAGGTGGATCTTTGTGAGTTCGAGGCCAGCATGATCTACAAAGTGAATTCCAGGACAGCCAGAGCTACACAGAGAAACCCTGTCTTGAAAAACAAAACAAACAACAACAACAACAAAAAAGAAATTGAGGATGAGGCTGCAGACAGTGTGTGTGTGATCAATTTGACCTTACAGTCCTGGAAGGCTTGATGAAGCCAAGCTCTGAATGGACGCACCTGTGATGGCCTGGAAGAGGTCAGCACTGTAGTCTAGGTAGTTGTAGCCATCATAGTCATAGGGCCCTTCGCAGAGGGCACGGCATTCCTCATCAGCCACAAAGTACTCTTGCAAGGCTGCCTCTAGGTGGGGCACAGCTTCCTGTGGCTTCTCCTCCGAGTAGAGTCGAACTCCTAGCCGAAACTCATGCTACTGGAGAGAGGGTGTACTCAAAACAGGCTCCAAAGGAACCCCTCACTTGTCCTAAGCCACTGTCACAGAGGTTCTAATCCCTACTTGTAAAATATGGGTATAAAAGGGGAACCTGGGTGCTGCTAGATAATAAAGGCTGTTAGTAAACAGGCTTTCAGTACCCTTTGAATTTACACATGCAACTGAATGCAGGGGAAAGGCAGAGTTTGCTGTAATTCTTATACATTCCTGTAGGGCTTACAGTTTTCAGATATGGGGCTAGAGAGAGATGGCTCAGTCAGTAACTTCCAGAGGACTTGAGTTTAGTTCCCAGCACTCTCATAGGGTGGCTCACAAATGCCTGTGACTCCAGCTCCAGGGGATATGATATCCTCTTCTGGCCTTCTCAGGCACCCACTCCTCTAGCTTCTGAGAACACCCACACAAATGTAGCTAGCTAAATGACATAAATTTACACACACACACACACACACACACACACACACACACACACACACACATTAAAAATAAATCATAACCCATCCCTAGCCTCCTTGAAGCAATGTCTCACACAGAGCAGTCGGGCATCAAATTCACTAACTACCTGAGGTTTAACCTTGAATCCTGATTTGATTTTCTCTATCTCCCCAGTACTAGGATTATAGGTATATGCCATCATGTCCAGCAAACACAAGTTTACTTTTAAAAGTCATTCTGAGGCTGGGGAACGATAGAGTGCTTGCATGTATTGTGTATGTGTAATGCCATTCTGATAGTGTTTCTTATATTTGTATGTATATATGAAATATATATACATATATATAACAATATATATATTGTTATTTCCAGGCTCTCTAGTGTTCTGATGTATCAATTATTAAAATGATAGAGAACATAAGTTGTTTATGAAAATGCTATTCAAATGTTAGGTCAAAAAGGTGCTGAAAGCCGGGCAGTGGTGGCGCATGCCTTTAGTCTCAGCATTCGGGAGGCTGAGGTAGGTGGATCTTTGTGAGTTCGAGTCTAACTTGGTCTACAGATCGAGTTCCAGGACAGACTCCAAAGCTACAGAGAGACTCTATGTTGAAAAAACAAAAAAAGGGCTGAAAACACACATAGACCACGACTCTAAATTAGGTGAAAGAGTTAAGACTTGGGGCCAGCCTGGACTACAAAGCAGCTCTCTCTCTCTCTCTCTCT